CTCAGAAGGGAAAGATCTGAACAGGGCAGAGTCAGTGCTGCTCATCTCCCCCCTGCAAATTCTCTGCTCCTTCTGAGTGCAGAGAAAAGGCTGTTACTATAGAAACCAGTGAGGAAAATGTACATTATATCATGTTTTACATACGTATTCAAGGAGATCCTTTAATCTGAGCCTGCCACCATGTAATTTTACATGAACAATAATGCTAATAAAGCCCTTGAATGTAATAGTGATTTCAAATCAAATCAAATAATCATCAGTTACTTCAAAAACATCTCTTCTTGTAACCTTCTACCCTAGCCAAAGCACTAGGACAGGGCTAGCAAAGCTGCCCATAATAAGGTAGATGACAGGAGAGTAAATCTAAAGCAGCAAAAGATGTAATGAGGGCTTGGGGGTGGGTTCTACACAGCAGTAAGCAGCAGCTAACATTTGAGAAAGGACAAAAAGGCTAAATAAAATGTCTTCTTTTAGACTTGAGCGTAGAGAAGTATGAAATAAAGATTAAAGGTACATTTTATAGCTTACATTCTGGCCTATCTTTTCGATTATTTACCTGGGCAGCCTCCTGTTGCCATCCTACCTTTGTAAGCCCCCTTTTGAAGTTCTTCTCTGCTGACCTTTTAAAGATTATCCCACCATTTCCTACTTGCCTTTGTAAAAGGCCTTTGACCTCTCAGAGAATCAGACATATTGGACCCCAAGATCTCAGGGAGACAGTGCTCTTTGTGAGGCTGCACCATGAAAGCCTCTCTAGATCAGGCTGGTCTGGTGGCAGCAGGTCTCCTGGGGATCCTTCAGAACAGAAGSCTAATTTAATCCTTTGGATGCCAAAACAGGCCTTCATTCTGTCCTTCCCACCCTCAGTTTGTTTTTTACTTAATTCACTATGATCAGTATTTCCTTCCTGATTTGTACTGACCCTGCAACTTAATTAGATTTTTACAAATATTTATAGTAACTCCTATGTGTTGTCTTGCAATTTCTTCAGGACAAGGATTTTCTTGCTGTGTTGAGCAAAATAAGCACAAAATAAATCTCAGTCTTGTCTTGTTCCAGAGCTGTGATTGATCCTCAGCCAGGTGCCTGCTTGTTGTCCTGAAGGTAAGTGCACAAAAAATGTAAGTGAGGCTTTGTATCACTGGTGCTGGGGTTTATATACTGCAATGTAGGATGACATAGCTATTGGAGTAAAGCAACTTAATTACACCAGGTAAGACCAAGTAAGGATACGTGTGCTCTCAGCACCTTTTCCAGACAGATTCCTTCCTCCAGACCTACCCTTTGTCCTGTGCGTTTTCATGACTTCTTGTGTTCCAGTAGGTCCCCTGAATCCCAAAGGTAAAATAAAAGGTTGTTTCTTTTTTTTCTCTTTGCAATGCCTCTGAGACCTGGCTGTAGGTTTGCTTAGCCAGACACATTCAGTGGAAGAAGCAAGTCCCTTTTCGTCTTCGTGCCTTACCTTATGTCCTCCTGTGCAGGAAGGTAGCCTTGCTYTCTGCTTCCCAGTCCCAGCCCCTTCCACAGAGCATAATGGCTGCTGTGACTAAACAGCTGATACTCATACTGTCTGTTTTAGGGGCTTTAAGCACTTTTAGATCTCAAATAATACATAGATAGTAATARAATGACTGTAATGATATCATAAAAGAAAAAGAAATGTCCTCAGGAGCATGAAAATCTAACTTCAAAGCAATTACTGTCAGTAACGAAATGCAGTGAAAAGACTATGATTACTTTAATAAGATTATCTGCTTATTTCCATTTGTTTTTTGTGGGTGACTGTAATGATGCTTCACCTTCATTCTCAGTCAGTTTCTCAGATGCTTCTCAGCCTGAGAACTGGCTGAACAAGCTGGACTGTGCAACGGGGGCTCAAGGGATCCAGCACACCTCTGTGAGCAGCTGCTCCTTGGTCTTCAGCCTCCCCTACTCTGGTGCCTTTGTTGTCACTTGGGTTGATTTTGTGCCAATCCTGTATTCCTATATTCCATCAGCTTGTATGCCCAAAAGATGCCCTGTGCCTTCAAATTCAACCCGGAAGAAGGGGCAGGGGTGGTGCAGGCAGTTTAAAAGCTAGGGCTGCTGCGCAGCCATTCGCTTTGGGAGCTCAGCTCATGGGCTTTTTGGACCTCAGCATCCGYGCTGCSGGAGTCCTTGCTCGCTGCGTGCWGCCGAGTTACATTGTTGCCGTTTAGCTAGCTCGGGTTTGTTAGCTTGGGCAAACGGATTTTCCCTGGACTACCACCCCTTTCTCCARCTCATGTGATTTCTTTTTTCTGGAGCAATTCGGCGGCTGGTGGGGACAAGCCGCGCTGCTCCGTCTCGTCCCGGACACTGGAAGAAGCCAAGCTGGCAACAGAAAAGCACCCCGAGCCTTCTGTTTCAYCCACAGGGAAGAAAGGACTATAATCAGGTTTGGKTTTTTTTTTCCACTGTTGCCATAGCAGCCACGTGGGTTTTTTTCCTTTGTTTCTTTTTCCCGGGGATGGGAGCTGCCATCTTTTCTCCGCACCACTGGCCGAGCAGTTTGTAGGGGGAGTGGGTGGCGTGTGTTTTAAATATCTGACTGTTACTTTTTATCTGTGTCCTGTGGGCACTGTGTTTTGTTAATAAATTACTTTTTTTCTCTTCACTTTTGCCCAAAAATCTATTTCATATTGGTGGGGGAAAAAGAATTTTCAATTTTTTCACTTCAGAGGAAACATTTACTCTGTAACATTTTTCTCTGAAAACATTGTGTCAAACCGAGACTTACTGCAACTGTTTTTCTGTGCTGCGTGGCTTTGTACCCATGGCAGAAGAGGCAGGAATGGGAGGACATGGAAGGATGTGGAAATCTGGTGTCTCTGGGGGTGGAAGGACAGTGTTTGTGGAGATGTGAAGTGAGGAAAAAATGGTCAATGTTATAAGACAAAGGACAATGTTATAAGACAATGTTATAAGTCAAGAGACTTGATTTTGAAGGTTCTTAAAAAATTCAGCTTTATCTGGCAGGCCAGGGACAGTGGATTCAGAATCAGAAAGGCAGTGCATGGTTTATAGGGCAAGGAGCTCTCATTTAGCTTCCCAGCATCCCTTAACCCAACCAAACCCATTACACATGCTTTACTCACTCGGTCTTCAAACTGTCTCTATGTCCTTGCAGTACAYGAGTCCCAGAGCTCAATCACTCATAGTTATACACTTGGGTGGGGAGTCTGTGGAGTGGTGAGGATGTGCTCAGAGGGACCAGGACTCACAGAAGTGGGAGGTGCACATGGGAGAGATTGCCGAGATAAACACTGATGTCTCTGCAGAGACCACGTTAAATTGCACCAGGGATCAACACGTCAGCTCTGTGCATGAAGGACAGAGTCATTCTATCGTGTTGGAGGCAGCATGGGGAAGGATAACTGTCTTCCTTTGCAGATACCTGTATGTATAAGTTAGTGGTCAAAAAGAAGATAGATAGATGATAGATAGATAGATAGATAGATAGATAGATAGATAGATAGATAGATGGATGATAGATAGATAGATAGATAGATAGACAGACAGACAGACAGACAGACAGATAGATAGATAGATAGATAGATAGATAGATAGATAGATAGATAGATAGATAGATAGATGATAGACAGGCAGACAGATAGATGTGGATATAGACACAGTTCTGGTCGAAACAGGCAAATGTGTAGCCCCTCGTGTCTGGAGGACATAAAAGGCTCTTCCAGAACTTTCTGGAGATCTCATCAAAACTCTCAACCCAGAACTCACTCAGATGCACCTGCACAACATAAATACAGGAACTTCCTCATTATTCTTGGAGAATGTAAAAAGAAAAACCCAACCAACACACAGCTAATAAATAAATCAGGTTTAATTGTAAACCATGTACATATTTATATATAGGGAGGGAGACGTGGTCAGAAAGGTGCTGCCCTGGCAACAGGAGTGAAAGAACAGTGTATTTTACCAATACAGTACCAATGAAGGATGGCGCTGATAAATTAATATGGGATTTTGAGTCCCAGAGGCTAATTTTTACAGACACTCATAAATCTTGGTTTCCTGTCAAATTATGGCACAAACTATCTCACAGCTTTGCCCAGTACTCACCAAGGTAGATGTAGCCAAACACACTGTCTGAGGGTGAGGGAGGAACAATATATCTGAAGTTCTTTCTGAGGTATATATAACGTATATATTCTACTGTTGTGTACTGCCTTGGGGCCATGCTTTGCCCACAGATAGGTGTGCACACGTCATTCCAGTCAGCAAGAGTGGCAAGCTCACATTTGACAGAATATATTGGACTTTGAGGGCATACAGAAGCTCATCAAACAACTGAGCCAGAAGCAGAACCTGGAGAGACCTAAAGGTAAGGAAGCCTGTACTGGGCTGAGAAAGTAAAGAAGTGAATGGACAGCCTGAGATTTGTCTGACCAGTCAGTTCAATCCTGTTTAAACAGCCAGGACAAAGCTTCTGTTCTTGAGGACTTCTGCAGTGCAAACATTTCCATCAAGGCAACCTTTATTGGACCATGGGGGAAATCATGAACAAAATTACTAGAGGCATGTTAGCAGAAGCAACACGAAGGAGCTGGCCCTATAACCATTCACTTCTTAATTTTGAAGAAAAATCCAATCCTGCCTCTGAAGTGATCTAGGTCTACATATGAATCTGATCACTCTCAACTGATACAGGAAGAGAAAGGAGTTATTAGTCCAGTGGTCAGCAAGGCAAAGGATGGCATTTATACTATGATACTCAGAACTGGTGTGGCTGCTTTGAGAAAGAACATCACACCAGGCTTGAAAAGCAGTCAAATACATTGGCTTTTTGCAGAACAATTTCACTTTCAATCAATGTACATATTAGAAAGTGTAATAGATGAAAACCATCTTTCACTGGTAGAAAACAGACACTGTTTAATATCAAATGCACTTGCCATCTGATTTTGCTATAAACGCACCCCCAGACAATTAAAAAAA